TATATATATATATAATAATATATATATATATATATATATATATATATATATATATATATATATATATATAATATATATATATATATATATATATATATATATATATATATATATATATATATATATATATATATATATAATTCAGAAAAACATGTTTGGACTGTACATACGTACATTGCTGTGATCAGCACATGGAATAGATGCTTGCACTGTACATACGTACATTTTAGTGGTTCCAAACACTTCATTCAATGGAACAAACATCACGGTATTCCATCCGCACATATAAAGGGTTTTAGGGTTATACACCTGTATAGTACCAAATAAGGCCAAACAATACCTTCAGACCCTCGAGCTCTGCCTGCAAGGCAGTCACACGCTCCTCCGCTGTGGTTAGCGCGTGGCTCACACTGTCCCGTTCTGCGAGTGCACTGTCTCGTTCTTCCTGCGCTTGTACCACAGCCGCCTACACCAAGAAACACACACATCTCAGTAGTGAATATCTATGGATGTGCTGACAGCTGTCGTAATATACTCATACATACGAGGTTAAGTGTATAATTTCGCACATTTTCACATGTACCTACTTTACCAACCAACCACAACATGTATAATATATATATATATGTACATATATCTATATCTATCTTTATATAAATATATATATATATATAGTAGTAGTAGTTCTATTAATATAGTAGTTATATATAAATTGTTCTGTAAAACATTCACCATAAGCTTAAACATCTACAGCCCAGATGCGCATACACCCACGCCAGTGTGGAGCCTCCATCCACTGATATTTGATTTTAAATTAGTACCGAACTGTTCTTTGAAACTGTTGCCATGTCCACTGTTGACTAGCATGCACACCTTAGTCTCAGCCGTAAATGCGGATGAATTACTGAGTTCCGTATCGAGCGAAGAAAGGCGGTCTTCCAGGCTCTGCTTTTGGGTCTCCAAATCGGCAAATGCAGCCTGCAGTCAACGCGTGGCTATGATTAGATTATCTTGAAGGTAGCTCCAAACCCTAAAACCCTAAACTATAATCGTAGCCCCCACGCAAATCTTGCGAGCACACAGCACAAACCACCATACAATGTCCACCTACTCACAGACAGCTTACACATGCACAGGGGATGGACCCAACTCACAACCCAGACTAATCGCCAGACTACCTTTGAGGACTCCAGAGTGGTCTCTAGTGTGTCCACGCGTTCTTGTGCGTCGGTCAGCGCACTCTGCAGCTCATCGCGTTCTCTCGTCAGGCCATCGCCTTGTCCCTCTGCCTGTGTTGCTGCCGCCTGATAACAAACAAACAGTACATTTGGGAACAGTATATATAGTGTGTATATACCCTCAGACGAGTGTGTGGGGGGGGGGGGGGTGGTACATTTTTATGAACAAGTCTTCCTATATTGGCAGAACTCAGTCCAGAGATAAACGCAGGTGCAACAGTCTGCAATGTGTTTCATGTACAGAACTAGAAGAGTCTCGATATATGTACACTCTAATACACAAATGTTCCATACAGCCTGTGCTTCCTGCAACCACTGCGTCTATTAAAGCGATGAGTGTAAATCTTGCATGACAATAGTATCACCTATAAGTGAGCAACAATCCAATATCGATGTCAGTTCCCGAAAACGGCTCAGATTTACGTTTGCATGTAGAGGAGGTTTATATGATAGAACTGACAGGTCATATTAG